AAAAAACATACCAATTTCTTTCTAAAGGACAATAATTCTTTCTAGAATAATTTGAATAATCATTCGCGGTTTCCCCATTTTCCCTCAGTTCTTCAATCTGTCTTGCTAACTTTACCTTATCTAGTGAAGATCCTCTCTGGGTCATGGTCATATATTTTTAGATTTTCATTGCTTCCAGGTTCTTGACCCTGAGAAAGCAAATTTTGTATGAAAACAGGTGTCTAAACCATGCACTATGTAAACTTTTAGTTGAAAATAACTTAGGAGAGAACAGCATATGTATACTAACTTTTTTAACAGTCCCTTCTTATTACAATTTTGATTTATACGGTGGCATTTTAAATAAAAATTTGAACACTTTTCTATCTCTTCTTCACTCAAGCCAGTACCAGGAATGTCGCCTGGAATACGATCGACTTGATCGTCCGCCGTGTTAGTTATTTTAAATTTCCCGCAAAGGGCAAAAAACTCACTTCCATGCAACTTCCGTTTTTTTTCTAACTGGCGATCAGCAGGTTAGTTTTTTTCTGGAACCGGAAAACTATAGAATTTCTTTGTTTTTTTGGGCTCCATTTTCGCCGAAGAAATCTCTCCTGTAAGAGCCAAACATGCACGCGAACAGTCGAGTTTACGAGTAAACTTCCTCGTATAAGAAGATCGCGAAAGCAACGCAATAAATACTGGTCTCTTGCTGGGCACAAAATTATTTTTTGTGCCAAATCACAGACTGAAGGCCACTAGTTCATCAGTTTTACTGACATCTGTCTATAGTAATGTACCATGTTTTTTATCTTTTTATTCTAATGTACATATCATTTTTTCTTATCTTGTAGTATTTTTAAATTTTAATTCGTCGTGTTTATTCTATTAGTTATAAATATTTTAATACCATTGAGGGCTACTTGTTCATCAGTTTTAACTGTCATGTCATTAAATAAAGTTGTTTCTTATTTACTTACATTCGAATAAGACCTAACACTGGTTCGTCAAGGGTAGCATCCCAGGGGCTCTCTCGCCCGACCTTGACAACTTTTTGCCGCGGTTCCTTTTTGGTTTTGACTCAACTGACCGCCCCTGGCTCCCCGAGGACTTTTTTTACCAAAGAAATGATAATGATTTTAAAAGTGATAACGAACATACTTCTCACAATTAATATTGCGTTGTTTGTGAATTTTCGTAATGCAGCTATTGTTCACATGGACTTTCATAACAAAGAAAGCCAACCTGAACGACAGAACAATTTTTTTATAAAGAGTAAACGCAGGCGCCTAATACCCTCTAAAATGTTCGTTTGAGTCATGGAATGGACTCTTAAAAACATTGTAAGAAGGCAGTCTGAATAGGCCTTTGGCAGCTTGCCATTCACGTGGTACAAAACCACAGTGCTAGAGAGCAAAAGTCGCACTGGGACAAGACAAACGAAGGAAATTACCGTTTAAAATTATGGATGCCTTTTGTTTGCCATGTCCCAGTGGTGTCCAGCACGGCGGTTTTGTACCACTTGAATGGCTAGCTGCAAAGGGCCTATTGTCCGTAACTTGTTCACAGTATAATCTCGATAATTTAAAAAACTTTATACCAGACACAAACCAAAAAAAGGTTCTGCGCATCCCAAAATTATTAACTCCTTCCGTTCCGCATTTGGTTTTGATCTAATTCCTTCTTCCTACTTACGCTCAGTCCATTTATATTACATGCAGTCTGTCCCAATATGGCAACCTTGAATGAGACATCAGGAGTTCTTACCAGTCCTTACTATCCAAGGCGTCACCCTTCTAACCTGAAATGCAGCTGGAAAATCATAGCAAGTAAAGGAGAACGGATTTTGTTGTTCATTGAAGACATTCATATCGCGCCCTGTGGTTCATCTTGCACGTGTGACTACCTGAAAATACAAAATGGCTCATCCTCCGATGGCATTTCAAGCAGGCGAAGATGTAGATACTATACAGACCGTGGGATAGTATACCATTCGGTAAAAGATGTCTTGAGGGTGACGTTTGTTTCTGATAGTGGTACTTACCGGCGGTACCGTGGATTTAAGGCAACCTACATCAAAGTGAAGTATAATGCAACAAACACGGGTAAGTTATTAAAAATCGGGTTTACACGCAAAATTAAAGGTTTATGTGCAGCCGATCAGGTGATCAATTTTCATCAAGTTATATAAAACATTATTGCCTTATAACGGGCTTATAGCAACTGTAACATTCAAATACTTTACGGAGTAAAACAACACAAACTAAAATTAATGCTGATGAAATGCCAACAATTTTCACTCGCATGATGTTAAAACTGTTTTGTTGCGAATCTTCTTTTTTTATGTTTATCTATTGAAACCCTTCCGATTGACTCTCTTTTTTTTTTGTTCACAGACAAATTACTCTTTGATTTTGAATTATAAAGCCAAATCATGTTTATTTCCTTTTGTTGCAGCTTGTACCTCTGGCGAATATCTTAATGGAGTTAGTGGATTCTTTTCAACTCCGAATTTTCCAAGTAACTACCCTCAATATAGCAAATGTACCTGGAATATCACAGTTCCCAGCGGGTACATCATTAAACTTAGCTTCCTTTACTTTCGATTGGAGCCACATCGGTACATTTCCTGCAATAATGGTCCAGAGGCCCATGTTACAGTCACAAATGTTGCTTCAGATGATGGGTATCAGCCGTTCATGTTCTGCGGTCAGTCTCTTTTTCATCCAGTGTACTCGGTAGGGAATTCCGTTCAAGTC